TATTTTTAACGTACATTTATTCAAATATTGTGATTTGTTTTGAAAAAAAGAATTTTATTTTTTTATTATACAGGTTTTTCTAGAATTGACAAAAATGTACGCATAGCTTTAATTCTTGTGAAATTTCGAGATGATTTTTGTTAACGGGTTTCCCGCTCTGTAGTTAGGTTTTAGATAAGCAAATAAATAATGGAATGTTATTCGCTGTTTAATGTAAAGTGTATTTTACTTTCGTTTTTGTACTTGTACAAAATTTTAATTTAAGCCTTTAGTTTTTAAGATATTGTATGTCTAAATATGATAAGTTATGAAAAAATAATCGCGCTCGAATATTTTTCTCGAAATTTCGCAAATTCTATATGTCCATTTTTTATCAATTTTGGATCATCCTGTAAATGCATTGGCTTTACGAGTTTTATCGCTTTAATTTGCTTCACCTAAATGCTTAAGTTTAGATGAGGTCAGATTATATTGTTTCATTACTTGCCCAGGATATTTTGGTATGTATTGTCAAAATCGCGGATTTCGTTCATTCGATCTCCGATCTTTTTAAAGTTGTTCCTAAACGTAATCTTGCCGATACGCACGATGAACGATACGAGATAGCGTTTCAAATGACGATGTGCAATTATATGAAAAAACGTAAATAGGGTACTAAAAAAATATCGATGATACGTTTCAATTGCGCCCAATCATATTACTGTTTCGATATATATATACACACACACGTGTGTGTGTGTGTGTGCGTGTGTGTGTGTGCGCGCGTGTGTGTGTGTGCGTGCGTGCGTGTATAAAATGCCTGATTTGTCATATAATACTTAGATGGGCATGTTACAAGATAACGATCATCTCTCGTTGAATAGACCACTGTCAGGAATTTTCTAAGCACGCCATTATGTTCTTATAATAGATATGTACAGGTGTATCACATATGCGAATGCGAGCCACTTAGAGGATTTCTGACTGTTTGTCAAGTGACATATGTGCCTTTCGAAAGTAATAATGGGTAGATTATGTAAGAAAATACGATATATTATGACGAATAAATTGTTTTTAATAAAAAAAGAATCGATTTTTATGTTAGTCCATTTTCTATCTGATGATTTATAATAAATACATTAAAATTACACTATAAATACATATAAACGCTAATTACAATTGCATTGGTCGTACAAAAATACTCTCATAATATATAAAAATATTATTAGGCGATACGATGATTTCGATACCTTTAAATATATTATGTTTTAATAAATAGAGAAAAATTGCTATACAATACAACACAGAACAGTATTCGGTTGCTTAACATAAAAACATGTCTTTGATTCTATATACACTAAATTATACATCTTTGTTCCAATAAACTTATTTCATACAAAAGAGAGAAATATATAATTTATATAAGAGAGGTAAAAATGCACGCAAAAATGCACATAAGAATAATTTTACAACAAAATTATGTCATTTACGCAAATTATCCAAACAAAATCTAATTCTAAATAAATTATTCTTTCTTATTTACACTTTTACAAATGTACTAATTAACAAAACTATCCTTTAAGTGGAAAGATTGATCTTTCTACTATTTTGGAGTATCAATTATTTCTTTAGCAGCAATCTCTCGCTTCTTTATTATTCTCAATACTACTTGTACTCTCAATAAATGTTTTTATTAGAAAATTTAATTTGTACTTATTTTCTGTACTCTTAAATTGTAATTATCGAGTTAACAATTTTTTTTCATCTATGGCTTAATATAAATTATTTATAGCATTTTTAAAATAAAAATGGTTTAAGGAAAGTATCGAAATTCAATTTGTTTTGTATCATCCAACGTCGAAGAAGTGAATAATATATATCAGCATATTTTTCATACATATTATCCACGTATCAATATACGCATAAGCGCAGTCGTTGACTGGATAAATGTAAATATAAAACACATTTGTTTTACGTCGATATATACATATACATATACAGGATAAATCAAAATATTTAATGTTATATGTATGAAAACAAAAATCTTTTTCATTTTTCATTTTTAAAATCATACAACTTCACTGGTCATTTCTATCACTGATTAATATTGGTTAATTCTATCTCAAATATCCTGTATATGAACATATGTCAATATTAGGCTATCACACGGAGAAAATATTTAAATAGAATTATGATCTCGTAGAAAGAAAGCCTAAATTTCGTTTCCTTTCTTCGCTATTTGTAGGCAAATTTGAAAATCTTCACATTCCGCGGCTATAGTTTTGAGACTGAAAATAATTAGTAATCAATGCTCAAAAATTTCTAATTCTGAATTAAATCTGATATAACGCTTCCTTATATTATCTGCAATCTGTAAAAAAAGAATAGAAAAAAAGAGAAAAGTTGAAAATTGCTTTTTATTTCACATACCTTTCAATGTAAATGTTTAGAACCGATGTTTCAAAATTCCCTCTTCTTATAGCTTCAGTACAAAACTGCGATAGATTCTTGAAACATTTCCGTGTGATGTTATGAGAACCCTGATTTTCCCATTCTGGTAATTCCCTAGTAATTTTCCATGCTTCTAGTACATAGCGCATTAATGAAATCCAGTGTTGAGACTCTTGCAATATTCTTCCTTGATCATTTAGAGTTTTCTAAAGAAACAAATTGCAAAAAACAGAAGAAAAAAAAATTGTTATTAATAAATTGAGCAATAGTTATATAATTGATTAAATTCTTATATATAAACAAAGGAGATCAAAATCTCACACAAATAAACAAGTCTTATTATTTTAGCTTGATATATATATATATGAACGAACCTGAAATGCGTCCAAATGTATGTAAGCACGACTATACGTGGAATCATCAGTCAAATTGGAAACTAATACCAGACTGGCGTAAATATTTTGTCGTAGGACAATTAATTTTTCTATCAGCGGCCGAATATCTGCAATCGGCATATTCTTGGAAAGGACATTACGAAGTTTCTCGTTCTCGCGCAGCGTACCTTCGTCTTGCGCGTATACCAGCTCCATAATCATATGCACGAGTTGCTCGTGACTGAGACCACGCAAGCCATTTGCTAAATTATCATTGGATCGTACTCTCGACGAATTTGCGACGTCTAATGACATTCGAGAGGGTAACGATGTTTTCTTACTCTCCGGTATAGTGAAACTGGATTGGCGAGTATCGATAAGAGAGAGCCTCTTTTTAGCAGCATTCCTCAATACCGTTTGTGATGTCGATGGATTTTTAACTGGTGTGCGGTCTCTGGAACTCAAACTGATAGCCAAAGATTATCAAAGATGTTACTAGTTTAGTATATTATAAATGTACATGTAGATATATTATACTTAAACAAACTGCATCGCTTGTTGGTGTCGAGATCGGGGGACCAAACTATAGATCTTCGTCGACCTCTCTTTTGAATGACAAGTTCATCAGGACTCTGTGGTGAATTCCAATCATCAGGTAATCTGTTTAGCCAATTCTGCAGTGTGCTTACATCCATGTTATGATATGTTGCTGAAATACATTTCACAAATTATCAAAATGTTTCAAGCTATATAATAAATACAGGTCTGTTTTTCTATACTAAAATTTTTCTGTTCTTTCCTTTCATCAAATACATACATATTTCATTCTAAGTTCTAAAAGTATCTTAATTATAGAAAACAGATTTTATGGCATATAAGAATATGAATATAATATGCAAGTACAAGTTAAACAAGCAAGATAAGGACATGCATGTACATCCAAAAGCTCCAGAAAAAAAAGAGAAAAATTTATTTTAACCATCTATTTTTATCTTTCTGTTACTGTAATACCATGAAAACTTTTTAAAAACGCTTGGGTCAAAAAAGATCCAAACATGGTTAGAAGGTTAAGAAAATGATTGTAGACCAGTATAGTCGATTCTTTAAGATTATCTTAAGTAAGATCTTAGACCAGTGATCTTAGGCCGGTATTCATAGGTTGGTATTCATAGGTAGGGCAATATTCATAGTATGTTGTATATTTTAAGATCGTCCTAAGTAATGTCTTAAGATGCTAATATGATTCTTTAATCAGTGCATGACATCTTAATACTGTACTTAAGATGGTTTTGAAATAAGAACTGACTATAAAAGTATAATCCTAAATTGTCATAATCACCATATTAGCGTCTTAAAACATTACTTACTTAAAGCTATCTTAAAATAAAAACTAACTATAAATATTGGCTATAGTTTTAAAAACTAACTTAAGTTGTCATAAACAATCACAAAACTGTATTAGTAGTTATTATTATGTAGTATCTTAAGACATTATTTAAGACAGTCTTAAAATAAAAATAAATTATGAATACCAGTCGAAAATCGTATTAGTATCTTAAGACATTATTTAAGACTATCTAATAAGAACGAACTATGAATACTGGCCATAGGATTGTTATGGTTCGCGAAAATTCGGCATGCGAGGTTAGATAGATTTTCGCAACGTCACGCTCACGCGAATTGAGTTTAGTGCAAAAACGCGTCGCACATAGGAAGATATGACGATATTTTTGTGAAATCAGGGAGAAAAGGCACGACGTTACTACGCTCGAAATATGGAGTTGTATGGAATGCACCTGGTGTCGAATTGGCGGGAATCACCAGCGGACCTTCAAGATGTGACTGTCTCGAGCGAGGAGAAGGGACCAGAGTTTCTCGCAGCTGCCTCGCCATCGCGGTTTGCGCGGCGATGTCCTCCGACGTTGCCGCGAAGAAATTTGGAGAGTTTCAGTTACGGGACCGTAACAAAACAACTGTCAATAATAGACGCTCACAAGTTGTCAACTGCTGTCAACCGGTGTTATTGTCGTTCACTATCCTGCTATCACTGATTACACAACAACAGATACTCTGCGCGTGCGCGTGACTCGATCGGATAAGCACAGGAAATAACAAATTTCAACCTATCAGAAATCATGTATTAGAATGAATGTTTTCTGATAGGTTGAAATCTCCTATACCCTGTTCCTATCGCCTATGCTTTTTATGTTTTCGGTTTAAAGGCCTATTCAAACGGACGCACAATCGCATGCACATTCGCATGCACATTTCATGAAGAAAAAAATCGATCACGAATTTGGATTTTTGGAGCAGAGATTGTAAGAGACTGCTATATTGTGTTTGGTTCTTTTCAATTTTCATCTGATTTCTTGTAACGTCTATTACATATACGTATGTTTATTCTATCTCAGCTTTGTAATTGTTTTCTTCAAGTATTTAATTATCGTTTTTATGTTTTAATATCTAGTAATTTTTAGGTTATGCACAAGTTTCGGAAATTATCCCAATTGAAGAAAAGAAGGGAGCGAACATTGAATGTACGTCTTCCTCACATAATAAAGGATAAAAAAGAAATTGAACAGTTATTTGAGGGTAGTTATCATATAAAATTACCACGACAGTCCAGTAAATCATGCCACATCATCTTTCCTACTGTGGAAGAGAAGATTAAAAATTATAAACTTGCAAAGGGTAAAACAATCGATGGCAAGCGAATTGTTATTCAACCATTGCGTGAGATTGTATTTAAAAAAGAAACCAACACAAGAAAAAAGATTTTTATACCTGAAATTAAACCGGACATTGAAGTAACAAAAACGTAAGTATCACTTGCTTGAGTCAACTTTATTTCACAAGATTATTAATATTTCATATATATTTTATACTTTTACAGATTATTTATTTCAAATGTAGCCAGTGGTACAAAATCACATGAAATAAGAGGTGCCCTTCCTGGATGTATTGGTGTTACTTTATTAAAACCTTATAATAAAGATTTTAGGTAAGTACAATTTATTTTTATTAAATTTCTAACTTTGCCATAATGACACAATATATACTACATATACATACATGTATATAATATAGATACACAGAGAGTTTGTGTCTTTTTTCAAGAGATGTTTGTAGAAGAAAAAAATAACACGAACTTTCCATGATACCTTTATGTATATTTATATTTATAATAATGCATTTTTTAATTTGTATAGGAGCGCAATGGTTAAAATGGAAAGTATTCAAATAGCAGCAGAATATCTAACTGAAAAGCACAAATGGCCAATCGTAAATGGTCATAAAATATGTATGAAACGAGATACAAGAGCAAAATATAAAAGAAGACGTCCTACAAGTATTCTTAAAATTCATAATGACAATACAATAGAAAAATGTAAATCTAGTAAGAGCTTGAATTGTACAGAAGTTAACAACGATGATAATTAAGAATGTTTAATTAAAATAATTATCGATAACGGAAATATTATAATTTCTTTATGATTCTCCAAATAATAAAAAATCCTGAGAAATCGGGAACTTTTATTTGCCTGATTTCTCATGATTTTTAAAAATAATTAGTAATTATTAGGTGTACTTTGCTTCCGCTGTTTTTTTTCCGAAATTCGAGGCTTTATTGTAAAAAACTGGTTATACATTTATGATTATGATTGAAAGTATTGTCCATCGCTGGCCACTACTTTCTCCCATCTTTCGGGTAGCGTACGAATCCTGCGTCGAAAAAATTGGTCATCTTTTGAGACGATCCACAAATCGATCCAATTTTTTACTTCTTCATAAGACTGGAAGTGCTGGTCAGCCAGGCCATGTGCCATTGATCGAAACAAGTGATAGTCAGAGAGAGCAATGTCTGGAAAATATGGCGGGTGGGGTAGGATTCCCATTTCAACGTTTCCAAGTATGTCTTGATCACTTTCGCAACATAGGGTCGAACATTGTCATGCTGCAAAATCACTTTATCGTGTCTCTCGTTGTATTGCGGCTGTTTGTCTTTCAATGCTCGACTCAAACACATCAATTGCGTTCGATACTGATCGCCTGTGATTGTTTCAGTCGGTTTTAACAGCTCATAATACACTACGCCCAGCTGGTCCCACCAAATACAGAGCATGATCTTGGAGCCGTGAATATTCGGTTTGGCTGTCGACGAAGCATAGCCGGGAACTCCCCATGATTTTCTGCGCTTGGGATTATCATAATGAATCCATTTTTCATCCCCAGTCACAATGCAATGCAGAAATCCCTTCCGTCTTTGCCTTTCAAGCAGCTGTTCACAAGCAAACAAACGCCGTTCAACATCTCTCGACTTAAACTCGTACGGCACCCAATTTCCTTGCTTCTGAATCATTCCCATGACTTGCGTTTTGAAATGGCTGTTGAGTCACTCGCAATGATTGTGCCAATTTTTCTTGATTTTGACACGAGTCTTGATCAAGTAATGCCTCCAATTATGCATCTTCGAAAACCTCTCTTCCACCGCTATGCCGGTCTTCGATGTCAAAATCACCGTTCTTGAAGCGTTGAAACAACTCATAACATGTTCTTTTACTAATAGCGGCCTCACCATAAGTATTTGAGAGTATTCGATGAGCCTCAACCGCAGATTTCTTCAAATGGAACAAGAAAATTAAAACCTCCCGCAAATGACGAGAATTTGACTCTGACATTTTCAATCGAGAATAACTTTATGATGCAGCACAAATCGAATGTTTCTATGGGATTATGTTAACAGATGCCTAAGTTTATTGTATGACGTCTATGATCTATTT